TGTGTCAACTGTAAAATAAGATGCGTGAAGCTGATTGGTTGAGCATACCCAGGAAGCTGGCTGAGACTGGGACTTTTGGATACTGTTACATTTTTGTTCAGGCTTGAGCTATGTAGGTGCACAGAGATACAGTTTGAAGAGAGAAGGAGAGAGAGAGACAGAGTTTGGAATGTGATCTCACTTCATGAGCTGCTGAAGGAGTTTATCCACATGGACAAAGAAAAATAATTTTAAATCTCTCAAAAATGACATTATGTGAGTTGATGCAAATGATCACATTGTACATATGTTGTTCTGAACTACAAAGAGTAAACTACTTGTTCTTTATTGTTCACCTGCGTAGCATATTTTCTTTCTCTGCCAAGGCAGTGTGTGGCTGATCAAACGTAAACTACACGTGGTTTATTTTACATTGTGCCACACGTTGTCCAGGAGGTGACTGTATATGATAATGCCTTGCTAGTAGCCTCATGTTCATTTTGCCAAAAGCTCTCTAGTTTTATCACCACATCTTTAGTCCTGGCTTAGCTTTAGGCAATCCAATTATGTAGTTAATTGTATGTAGAAAGAAAAATAAACAGGATTGAGGTCTTCCTTAAGGAGGTGTACTAATTTATTACATTTGTCCATCCTTATTATTACCATCATTGGGTTTTGGGTAATTCTCCTTAAAATATCTGGTAAATAATTTGATTCAATTAATTATACAGCAATTCCTATTCTGTGCTAATAATTAGTACACCTCTTTCTCCCTAGCTGTCTTCAAGGCCAGCATGCTCACAACTGAAAGACAGGACTAGTAATACTGCCACTACTAATATCAGTAGCAACACACTCTTAAAAATATGGGAAGAGTAATGCCTTACATCTTACATTGGCACTGCGGAAAATGAAAAGCGTTTTCAGATTTGCGGCTTCTGAAATGGAATAGGGAGGTTTGCCTTGTATTTTTGTATTAAGGTAAAGGTAAAGGTAGTCCCCTGACATTAAGTCCAGTCATGTCTGACTCTGGGGTGTGGTGCTCATCTCCATTTCTAAGCCGAAGAGCCAGCGTTGTCCGTAGACACCTCCAAGGTCATGTGGCCGGCATGACTGTATGGAGCGCTGTTACCTTCCCGCCAGAGCGGTACCTATTGATCTACTCACATTTGCATGTTTTCGAACTGCTAGGTTGGCAGAAGCTAGGGCTGACAGCGGAAGCTCACGCCGCTCCCCGGAATCGAACCTGCGACCTTTCGATCAACAAGCTCAGCAGCTCAGTGCTTTAACCCACTGCGCCGCAGTTAGCAAATAACATATAGTCCATAGAACTGGAGCCTAGATATTCATAATCATTAATCATAATCATAATTCATTATCAGAATTGGAAAAGTTGAGGACTTCAAGAAACCCCATCAACATGGCCTCATCTCCTGGATGGGGGATTTTGGGAACTGTTTGAACCTAACATGTCCAACCCCAGGCAATAGTATAGAATGGGGTGGGAATCATGTGGGCCTCCATGATGAACAACTCCCAGCACTCTTACCATTGGCTATGACTGTGCTGATCAGAACTGCTCAGACATTCAGTTCAAGAACATCTGAAGGGCCACATGTTTCTCACTCCTGGTACAAAATTAAAAAGTGCTAGTCTTGATTGTTTTCCTTTAAAAACAAAATACACTTGCCCTTTTGCTGTGCAGTATACATTCACACTGATATATAATTCTGCTATATATGTGATGGAGTGTAAGACTGATGGGAGTACATCTGGTCGGTCAGAAAAGAGAAATGACATTTAGCAGCACATCCTGTGTGACTGAATTCATTAGCACTTGAAAATCAGGAAGAGTTATTTTGATCTGAGTGGCTGATCTGAGACAGGGTGACCTTTTTTCCTTTTGTCAGATGCATGTCACCACTCCCCTTTGTTTGACTTTCATATTTTCCTCTCTTCCCACCTTTGCTCATTGACAAATTTGAAAGGCATTGACTTATTTTGTAAATCTTGTTTATCTATATAAATAAAAATATAATGTTCGTTTGTGGGATTAACAGAACTCAAAAACCACTGGATGAATTGACACCAAATTTGGACACAAGACACCTAACAACCCAATGTATGTCCTTCACTCAAAAAATTGATTTTGTCATGTGGGAGTTGTAGTTTCTGGTATTTATAGTTCACCTACAATCAAAGAGCATTCTGAACCCCATCAACGATGGAATTGAATCAAACTTGGCACACAGTGCTCCCATGACCAACAGAAAATACTGGAAGGGTTTGGTGGGCAGTGTCCTTTGGTTTTGGAGTTGTAGTTCACCTACATCCAGAGATCACTGTGGACTCAAACAATGATTTATCTGGACCAAACTCTACACAAATACTCAATATGCCCAATGTGAACACTGGTGGAGTTTGGGGAAAATAGAATCTTGACATTTGGGAGTTGTAGTTGCTGGAATTTATAGTTCAGCCACAATCACAGAGTAGTCTGAACCCCACCAACTATAGAATTGGGCCAAACCTCCCACACAGAACCCCCATGTGGGCCACAGCAATGCATGGCAAGGGACAGCTAGTATATTTATATATTAGGGTAGACATTATATATTTATATTTTTCACTATCATGGAGACTTTGTTTTTTATATATGATATGTCATCTGTGTTCAAAAGCCTAGCTGACATCACCTGAGTCTCAATCTTATAATCTCTCTTAAGAGTTCTTACCAGTAATATGATTTTGTTGTAACAACTGCCAAGGTAAAAGATGGGAGGTGCCATCCATACCTTAAGTTAGATTGCTGTTTGAATCCACAGTTCAACTCTAGAATCTTTCTTTTTTTCTTTTTTGCTAAAACAGAAGAAAATTAAACTCTGAGGCATAAGGAACTACAAATATGGTATCACTGCTTTCACACAACCACCATTCAATCTACTGGTTTTTCCCATGTTGCTGTTGTTGTTCATTCGTTCAGTCGTCTCCGATTCTTCGTGACCTCATGGACCAGTCCACGCCAGAGCTCCCTGTCGGCCGTCACCACCCCCAGCTCCTTCAAGGTCAGTCCAGTCACTTCAAGGATGCCATCCATCCATCTTGCATTGGTTTTTCCCATGGGCCAAAATAATTTCTCATCTCTCTCACCACCACCTTACTGAAATCTGGGCAGTTAACCAAATATCTCACTTCTTATGATTTGTTTACACAGATTGAAAGGAAAAGACTTGATCTACTATCCTTGTTTATGTCCGACTCCACAGTGAGGTGTTGAGTTGTGTTTTGTAAGTCATAGAAAGAGGCTGATCTTTTGGTCAGTTTTTTTGTGTGCAATAAAATGTAGAGGAGTCTCAGTTAACAATAATTGTGTTGTTGTTATAGTTAACTATCCTCAAGTGGAGTTCAATTTGTGTCAGTCTAATGGATGAGACACCTCCAAATCATCCAGTCTTCAACTGTCTCGTCTCAGGCCCCTTCCACACAGCTGAATAAAATCCCACATTTTCGGCTTTGAACTGGAATATATTGCAGTGTGGACTCAGATAACCCAGTTTAAAGCAGATATTGTTGGATTTTCAGCCTTGATATTCTGGTTTATATGGCTGTATGGAGGGGTCCCAAATCTTGCAGACTCTTAGCCTTCTTGATTGTGACTATCCATCTGGAATGAGGTCTCCCTCTTTTTCTATTGACTTCTACCTTACTAAACATTACTGCCTTTTCTAAGGAGTCATGCATTCTCATAAGGTATCCAAAGTAAAATAGTTGCAGTTTAGTCAGCTTGCCTTCTGGGGAACATTCAGGCTTTGCTCAAGAACCCATGCATTTGTCTTTTTAGCAGTCCATTATATCCACAGAACTTTCTTCCAGCACCATATTTCAAAGTAGCTGATTCTCTTCCTATCTTCACTGTCCAGCTTATGCATCCATAAATAGAAATAGGAATTACAATTACAATCCTAACTTTACCCTTGAGGATCTTGTCTCGTTCTTTCATAGCTGCCCTTCCAAGTCAAAGTCTTCTTCTGACTTCTTGACTACATCTTCATTCTAATTAATGTTTGGACCAAGATATGGACATTCTTTATGTCAAAGTCTTATTGATATTTTTTGGTCATGCTTTGCATTATATCTTTCAATTACTTTTGCTATATCTCTTTAACGGAAGCCTGTTTTTTCTTAGATTTTAATTACCTAAAAGACTGGAATTATCTGACAAAATGTCCCATTCCTATCCACTTTTGTTCGCTTCGAGTATTGCAATGTTTATACATTCCATTTCTTGTTTTACTTTACCTAGCTTCCTCTGATTTGTGCTTCTCATATTCCATGTTGCCATAATATATGTTAGGCAGCTTTGGACATTCCTTTCATTTTTGTGCGTGCCAACATCTGACGTCCTTTTGAGTCCAGTTGTGTCATAAGCCACAGCGCTACTGTACTTATCTTCTGATGCACCCTAATAGCTCGTTGGCTGACTTTCAACTTGGGAGTTTCATCTTCTGGCATTTTCTCTTGTTTCATTTTGGATTGTCTCATGATAGGATTTTTATGATTAATTTTTTTTTGAAAGGAGCTTACAGCTTTCTGCACGTATTATCTATGTTGCCACTGCCATTGTCTTTGCATGATTTTCTGCCAGTGTCTCTCTCACACACATATCACTACTGCTATTGTTTAGTAGCTGTTTGGCATGTTTAGTCCGCCTCCTCAACAAAAGGCTGTCTGACATGGAAGATTCTACCAGCACCCCTGCTACCATCACCGTAACCTCCCATGCATTCCCGTCACTGTACAAAGAAAGTGCCATTGGCATAATTATCTCACTGAAGATAAAAATCTCACTGAAAGTCAACCCAGAACAGAAGCAAAGTTCAGAGATTTCAAGGAAGGAATCTGAGCCTCTTATTCTGGGTTGGAGATGTTGTGGCCCCCAAGTTTTGTAATGGCTATATTTCCAGTGATGTGAGTATGTTCAGGGGTTAATCTCTTCTATTCTCAATTTGTTGTATTTTCAGATTTGTGTTGAATTCATCAAAGACACGCTGAATGTGGAACAGGTCTGTGAAGCCTTTCAGGTGAGTTTCACTTTCCCAACTTAATTTTGCTTTGCCTGCTGTGGTGTCTGTCAGCCCCTAGAGACCCCTTGATGAATTAAGGGACCTCATCACATGGAGTCGGCCAATGCAGGTGACAGCAGGGAGCTTCGCCAGGCAGTGTGGTGAATCTGGTGGGCAGCGGGGAACTCCATTGCCACCTTCCCTATCCCATTCAGTGCTACGTTCCCCATTTTTCCTCCTGCATTAACCCCATTGCTGGCGATGACAACACAGAAAGCATGTTCTTGTTGCTCCATTCTAGACACTTTCACCACAGTTTGGGGATGGAGCCTACTGGATCCCATTAAACATTGTAGAGCTGTAATGGTCAGAGTAGTGGTATTTCACAGGCAGCCCGATGGATGGCTCTCTCACTTAATCTATATCTCTCATATCTCTTCACAGAGCCCCACTAGAATCAAGTTCAACAAAACAGGTCTTCTTTCCCTGCTAATTCTGCCAAGCCTGTTCCCCAGCAAAAAATAAAATAAAATAAATAGACTGGAACAGAAGGGGGGGTCACCATACACAAATAATCTACAGTTTTCACCCTACATACTGGCCTCACACTCACACATTCACCACAATACAAACGTGGCCACCCAACCTATCCAGCCTGTCCTGTGGAGGGTGCATTTGCCTAGCATTTCTGTAAGCTTATAGGTTGTTTGGGCTCAGTAAAAGTACAAGGTTAGCAAAAGTGCCTTAGTCATGTAAGCAAGCGTGGCCAGTAAATGCTTAAGGAATTAAGGAGACTTGGGTACTTCCAAGTCTCCTAATGGAGGCAACACATCCATGTGTGTGGCCTCCATTAAGAGACTTGGAGGTACCCAATAGACAGTCTCTTCAAATGATAATGGAACATTTGTACACACACCAACTATATAATCTATTGTAACTCAAAACTCGGGATGTCTGAGAATCTAGAAGTGATCCTGCTTGGAGCCCAGCTGAATAAACGTATTTTTCCCCCCACTTCAGAAGACTCAGTGTTATCCTTGAACCACTCTGATCCTTCAGAGTGACTTTCAATGGGTAAATTTGCCCATGTGATGAAGTCCTAAGACTAGTAGGAATAAGATACTTGGATTGCCTCTGGAGTATGACTTGAATTGTGTGATTTTAATTTTTTGTATTGTTAATGTTTTGATTGGTTTGGATTTTAATGCATTTGTTTATTTATCAATATGTGTATATGTGTGTGTGTGTGTGTGTGTGTGGCATTGAATTGTTGCCTTTTTTAAAGGCTGCCCTGAATCCCCTTCGGGGTGAGAATTGCAGGGTACAAGTATGTTAAATAAATTAATGCAACCACATTTGTAAGCCATTTTGATTCCCAACCTTGGGGAAAAGGTGCTGTTCCTGCATGGCAGGGGTTGAACTAGTGTATATAACAAAAATACCACTTGTATAACATAAACAATGATATAATTCAACAACAGTATATAAAATGCTGCACTGTTAACCTCACAGCGACAACAAACAGTATGGTGCAAACTTTTAGTACAGTTGTATTTTCTTATAAGTAGCTTGAGTAACAGCCTATCACAATTCAACAACAATATATATACATGCTGCACTGTTAACTCCACAGCGACAACAAACAATGTGGTGTAAACTTTTAGTACAGTCGTGTCTTCTATAAGTAGCTTGTGGGACAGCCGACCACGACCGGTTTCGGCCTACCTCAGGCCTTCCTCTGGTGGACTGTAAGTGTACAAATCAACGTTTTACTACAGTAGCATACATATAGAACATCTGTATCATTAAACATCATAGGTTACAATACACTTTAGTACTTCCAAAAGTTATACACTTGAACAATACTACATTTGATAATACATTTCAATACTTACAAAATTATGCACATGAAAGTATGTTCTCCACGGGAGATACAAATCTTTTTGGGTTGGTATCTATACAAGGGGTTGAACTAGACCAGGAGTCCTCAAACTAAATCCTGGGGGTCGGATAAGGCCCTCCAAGGTCATTTACCCGGCCCTTGCTCAGGGTCAACCTAAGTCTGAAATGTCTTGAAGGCACACAACAACAACAATCGTATCTCATCAGCCGAAAGCAGGCCCACACTTCCCATTGAAATACTAACAAGTTTATATTTGTTAAAAGTGTTCTTCACTTTAATTATTGTATGTTTTAAAGTGTTTTTTGCACTACAAATAAGATACGTGCCACGTGCATAAGAATTCATTCATGTTGTTTTCACATTATAATCCGGCCCTCCAACAGTTTGAGGGACTGGCCCTCTGTTTAAAAAGTTTGAGGACCCCTGGACTAGATGGTCCATGTGGTCTCTTCCAACTCTATGATCTTATGATTCTATGAATAAAATAATAATGTTCATTGTCATTGTCACAATCACTTTCAATCCAACTGGATTTCTTGAGCTGTACAACTCTGTACAAATTCCCCTCCAGTTCTTTTGACTGCTTCCAAAGTCAATCACTAAGATCTTCTACACTTTTAGTATCATGTAGATGTTTTATAGTGTAATCATGCTGGGTTCCACAACTGTGTTGCTGATTGCTCAAGGCCATGAGCTCCCCATTATACAATAGGTAATCACTTCCCCAACCACTAAGTCAACCAGGAGAAAGAGAAAGGATTGTATGCATGTGTTAGCAAAATAAATGTCTCAATTAGGGATCACACCTATACAACCTTGAGAAACCCTTGTGCAACAATTTTTCCAATAGTTTACTGCCCCAACAGGGCTCTACTCAATAGGGTACATAAAATTATGTTTGTGGATTGCGAAGACACTTACTGGTACAATGGCAAGAGTGCCTGATGTGTATTGCTGCCTGATGCACATTGGTCCCATTGTGCATTGATCACATGTGCCAATTCTGTTACTTATTACTGTATATACCCATGTATAAATCAACCTCAAGTATAAGTTGAAAGCAAGTTTTGGGGCAAAATTAGGGATTTTGATATGAACCATGGATAAGTCTAGGGTGATTCCATAGAGAGGGTAAAGTACCAATCTCTCCTTGGGGCCAGTTACCCCAGGTCACCACCATTTCATCACCAGGCATTCAGAAAGGCCAGAAGTGGTGCCAAGGAGGAAAAAGTAAAGGGGAATCAGTACTTCTTTTGAGTTCTCCAAAAATGGATTTTGCCAAAATGGATTTTGCCAAGAGATGGTTTCTCTTTGGTAACAGTTAAGGAACAGTGAACCATAGATAAGTCACCCCGGGCTTTCTGGGTATTTTTTAAACTAAAATTTGTAGATTTATACATTGGTATACTGTAGTTAAAACACAAAATACATTAATATAATTTAGCACTTATTAGAATACATAAGCAAGAATGAAAGATATTAAAACTTTCCAGTGAAATCATATCTTAATAGATGGTACAAGCAGCAACCAGTTTCCAAAAGTGCCAAATACAGGCGATAGCATTCAGAGCTGTCCAATAAAAAACTGCTAGACAGAGAGGTGTGAAAGCAGACTTATTTAAATATAAACGCCTGCATACATAAGAGTCTCAGAGCTTCCAAAACAAAAAACAAAAAAACCACTTAGCAAGGCCTTATAAATAATCTGACCCACAATTAACCAAAATGAAACTCTTCCTTTCACCAGAACACCCTTCTCCCTTCATTTAATTGAAAATACTCATTTTCCTCAAGCATCTGTAAGGCAGAGCATCTATATATTGTGCCTGCCATGGAGCTTTGTAGTTTAAGATTCCAGTACTGACTGCCATAGAGAGGAAGGAGCTGGAGAATTTGCTGGAACAGGAAAATTGGAAGCCTGGCTTGATGAAAGAGGAATGCTAGCATAGGGACTCACTGCAGTCCACTGCTGCATTGTTGATATTTGCCAACAAACCACAGCACCACATTTCTGCAGCAAACCATGAAACCTTCTCTAAATTGAGAAGAAGACACTCATTTTGCAGCTCTTCCCCAGTTTTCTGTGAAAAGTGGTGGCATGGTTTGCTGTTAAATTCCTTTGAATTCTGATGCACACTTCTGTGGGGGTTTGAACCCTCATAAAATAGTCAGGGTAGCTGCATTTGGGCTTTAGGTTGCCCACCTCTGCAATAGTCCAATGTGACTCCATTCCTCGGGCATTTCCCAGAGCAGAAGCTCATCCTGGAATGAGGAAGCAAAGAAGTATTTATTTTTGTGTGCCATCAAGTCATTTCCGACTTATGGCAACTCTTAAAGCGAATTTATCATAAGGTTTTCCTGACAACCTTTGCTCAGAAGGAGTTGGTCTTTGCCTTTCTCTGAGGCTGAGAGAGTATGACTTCTTTAAGGTCACTTATGCTGTATTTACATTGTATAATTAATTCAATCTGATAGTATTTTAACTGCCATGGGCCAATACTATGCAATCATGGGAATTATAGTTTTGCAAAGTCTTTAGCCTTCATGTTGTTGAAGGCTTTTATGGCTGGAATCACTGGGTAGCTGTGAATTTTTTGGGCTGTATGGCCATGTTCCAGAAGACTTCTGAAACATAGCCACACAGCCTGAAAAACTTACAGTAATCCATCTTTAGCCTTCTCTGCCAAAGAGTGTTGGTGGTGCCTTACCAAATAACAGCTCCCATAACTCCATAGCATTGAGCAATTTTAGTTCAAGTGGCATCAAACTGCATTAATTGTACAGTGTAGATGCACACTGAATGAATGTCCATGCCTGAGTGGGGATTCAAACCTTGGTCTCCAAAGTCATGGTCTAATGCTCAAAGTACTACACTATACTGGCTCACAAAGTATAATTGCTACTTTTGTTTTGGCAATGCTCATCTCTGGGTATATCAATGAATTAGTCCCCTCCCCCTTTCATAACAATACCCTTGTACAGAGCCTTCCTGTTAATTTTGCATGTTTTATTCTTTACTTATGAAAACAAAAAGTAATGCATTGTACATAACTTGGCATCAAGACAATTGCTATTATAATGTTCATTTTCATCACTATTTACCCACATTCAAAAG